AAAAAAAAAAAAAAAAATCCGAACACCGAATACAAACACCGAGCGAGCGTACGTGATAAAACCGGTAGCGGTCGTCACGGCGTATTGCGGCCTGCTATTAAACGGTGCACGCGAACGAGCCTCGAAAGGAATCGAAATCGAAAACAGGAGATATCGGAGGCATCGGCTGTGCACTCGAAACGGAGTTCGAGAACGGGAGAAAGAACGCGGCGCGGCGCATGCATAAAGGCAGGCGTGACCGCGGCACGGGCTTGGACCAATCGCGAGTCAGTCTGGTCCTCCGCTTTTTTTTTTTTTCTTTATTTCATTCACTCCTTCCCCCCCCCCCTCCCTCCACGCGGCCACACTGATTCCCCACTATCGGGACATACTCTGTGCTCACACGGGCTCACGGCCCGTTGGATCGCGATCACGCGCATTGCGGCTGCAACGAGGAATGCATGCGCGAATCGCGTGTTGGACGATGCGCCCCGATCACGGGCGACGAGCAACGGCTTTGACGCCATCGCGGCCAGGCCACGCCGATAAAATCGGTCGATGGATCGAACGATATCGAGAACTCGAAACATCGAATGGTGGAATTATCACTCGGATCATTTCGGTATTTATTGATTGATTTCGCTACGCTGCTTACCGTTATACCGTTTCACGCGCGTTTAACGTAGTCGATCGTGTAAGACGCGTCGACGTATGGCGTCGTGACGCGTTATTTCGATGGGAAACGAAACGGTTGAGCGATGAAGAGAAGAAAAAAAAAAAAAAAAGAAATTCGATCGCGGATGTTATCGAATCGGATTCTATTTACGAGAGAAAGTTCGATCGTGGAGGCACGTGACGTGGAAGAATGCGAAACGGGAGTATGCGTAAAATGCGCGCGAAATTCGATCTTGGTGTTAACCGTCCTTCGGTTTCAGTGTTAACTTATCAGTTAACCAGTGGTAACGAGTTTTCGAATATCTTTTCAACATGTACGGTACGCGTGTCAACGTGTTAGTATAGGATATTATGACTCACTTAAATCGATAAAATGTTTTTCCTATTCCAACATGCGTCGCAATTACATTATCGAAACTAGCTACACATTAACGAGCAAAAAAAGAGTCGAGGAATCCTTTTGTCTTTCTTCTCTTGTCTGACATACTTCGGATACGTTTACGAGATAAAAAAAAAAAAAGAAAAGAAAAAAAAAAAGAAAAAAAAAAAAAAAAAAAGGAAGTGGCAAAGAAGAGATTGGTATTTGCAATTTTGGGCCCGGCCTTCCCGGGGACCGGCCGTCTTCCGAGGGCCTCTCTCTCTCTCTCTCTCTCCACCAAGATGTTACCTTCAAAATCTAATTATGAGATTTTTATAGGGCTATCGTAAAACGGCCGAATAATAGTTGGCAATTCTTCCACGGAGAATGCTAAGGCCGTGCTCGGTCGCAATCTTCCGACCAAGATAATAAAGAGCAACACGACCAACTTCTCTAAAAAAGAAACAGTCAAAGACGTTTCTCAAACCAATATTGGTTCACGATCAAATCCTCTTACGTCCAATATAATTGAACGTTTCTTTATCGAAAATTAACGTTAATCAACGATTACGAAACCGTTCATCCATCGTGAAAATTATATAGGATATGCGTACAAATTTTGCTGGAAAATGTATTTTTGCAAAATTGTGTGCGAACATTATTGATACGAAAATTACGACAGAAAATCCGTTAAAAAAATATTTCTTACAAACTCTCTATCTAATATACCTAGGATTCCTTCCTACAACCCGTTTCGAAGGGAAACGATTATTTCGACGAGCATTCTGAAATCTGTTCGAAAGAGATGAATTAATCGACAGAAGCATGGAACGGTACCCTTGTTCCAGGGTGGTACCCGCGACACTGCGACGACAATGGTACCGCACATGTCTTGCCTGGTCCCGTCGTAACGAGACATGACGTCACGACATGGCGTCTGCAGGTGAAACAGTGAGGTTAGCCGTGTAAGTGAGCGCATTCGCTAGTCGATCCGATTGGCCGAAAGGGGAATCCCCGCCCTTGTGCCGCGCTCTGCACACCGTTTACCTGACGACGGGATCCGGCTAACCTAACTCCCCTTCGACACACGCGCGCACACACACCCCTCCCCACCTCTCCCGCTCCCCTTCCCCTTCCCTGCCGCCGCCCCCCCTGGATTTCTATCTTCACCCGATTATAGCCCTTTCCTTCCCTCCCCCTCCGTTCTCGCATCACACTCCTCTTCCACTAAGTTTCCACGGGAACGCATCCCTTAACGCGTATATATTGTACGTACGTGCAAATACTCGACGTATAAAGTGGCGATGGGACACGAACTCACGCACACACGACGGTTGAGTTAAGACCGGATCAACTTGGACCCCGTGTTTACATCTCTCTCGTGGCGCAACGACAACGCGACGCGTCATTTGCGCCGCATCCACGAAGAGGATACGGATTCCTCCTTTTTTTTTTTTTTTTTTTTTTTTTTTCTTTCTTTTTTTTCTTTCAATGCGAGTGCGACACTCTCTCGTTAACCCTCGTTCTTATTTCTCATTGTTTACCGTGCTATTATCGTCGACGAGCGACTTTTCCCTTCTTCGTTGTTCCGCGCCCGACGTGCCGCTGCATCCGCGCGCGAACAACGTTACGTAAAATTCGTTAAATATACGCCGCTTTGTAGGGGGCGCGAGTATCGATGGACGATGATATTTTTAGAACGGGCTTAATATCGAGGCAAAGATCGAGAAATGCCCATGCTTCCTGAAATCTCTGCGGATCGATCTAGTGATTGAGAGGGGGGGGAGGGAGGGAGGGAGAGGAGGAGAGGAGGATACTTTGGATACTTTGGCTACGGGTTATTATTATTATTCCGTAGAGCATTGTATGTACGGCCGACATATGGGAGAGTGGAAAAGAACGAACGATATAAATTTCATTTGGCCGATGTTTCTTTATTGCAGGAAATAACCGGAAGGATCGAACTTGATATTAGCCTATTAAAATTTGTGGGACAGGCGATAATGCGTGAATGTTTCTATCGCAATGTATATATATGTATATAGGAATAATGTTTTTGTACAGGATACATAATTTATGGTGCAATTTTTATCGGTATTGTTCATCCATTGTTGAAAGATCGAACGCAATAAAACTGATCCTATCGAAAATAGAAAATTTTCACAAAGACAAATTGAACGGTGTGTTTGTATATTGGTGAAAATTTTTATTTAAAAGGATATTTGAAATACTTCGTGGATGATATCATTGAACGGTTCGTGTATAAGAACATGGTCGTTAAAAATTAGTTTCTGTTTACTGTGCAACCATGACGTCACGATATCTTACGAATTTTAATAACGTCATTAAGTAATATTAATATCAGACGTAAAACTTTTTTGCGAAAACTTAGAATATATGCATCTATAGACACGATAAAGTTAACTCTACTTTTCAATATTTAAAATGGCGACGAAACAAATATCTATCTATATGAAAGTAAATTAATCTAAATTTCGAAAATATCTTTTCCAAAATGCTATTATTATTCGAACAATCTATTTATTCGAATAATCTAAGAAGATATTATCCATGAAAAAAAAGGATATAATCAATGATTTGTATAATAAACATCGTGAAATCCATTATAGGAATAAAATAAAAAGTACACGTTCTGAGAATTAATATCGACGATAGGAAAAGAGAAAGAAAAGGGTTGTCGTTGAAGATTAAGACGACTATGGACGTGCCAACAATAACAGTGCTAATTCTAGTGAGAAAACGACTAATGTATCTTTTTATTCGACATAACTTTATGTTCAAAGACATCGTCTATCAAAGATATTATTATTATTTTTTAAGATATTCGCGAATACAATTGCATAAAATCTTCGTATCGTATCGTATCGTAATATCGATAATTTATTACAAAGTTTGAATTATACGTAACGTATATAACACGTTTACAATTATTTAAAAAGATTTTAAAATATTAGAATTTACAGCGCATTAAATTTATCAAGGTTTCTGGAACGATCATGATATAAATAAGTCGAATGTGACTTTTATAACAAGAACGATAGACACATGTATAAAACTCGTACCTAAGATACATAAAAAACGCGTTCCAAGCGGCAAAGGCAACCAATTCGGCATTGTTTGTAAACCATGCCGCCCTTCTGGCACGTTGTAGCATTTCGGTGTATTTCTAGTGATGTATGCCGTAAATACATAAATACACGGTCGTTCTCTATTGTCAGCCAATTTTATCGATCGACCAGCGACTGATCAAAAACATGTGTAAACACGATACGACGCAATTTTATCCGTCTCAAATTACATCCTTACGTTAAAGTTCGCGAATTTTTCGCTTTATTTTAATAATCATATATATTTGCCTTTTCGTTTCGTCTGCTTACACGTTGTTGCATCGTGTAATAAAAATATCGAAATACGAGTAAAATGCAAATATCGAAATAATCGAGTCTAATGGTCATCAATATCGAAATATCATCGAGAAAATGATCGCGTGATCATCATGTTAAATATTACGATAATTAAAATATCAAAGTTTTAAGTTTAAGAACGAAGAAAACGTTGGATCTTAAATAAAAAAAAAAAAAAAAATGAAAACACTCACCAGCGGACTATCGGGCGAATGCTGATGATGGGCCATCGGTATGTTCACCACCGCGACCCCTCCCCCAGGGTTTCCCATGTCCTGATATTCGTCGCTCATTTCCATCGCGTAGGATGGTAACGGTTCTCTGTTCTTCACCCGAATTTTGATTGTTTTACCGCAAAGCGGTTGCCCACGACACAAGAGACACCCCCGCAGGGAACCACACGCTGCCAAAATACAATTAGGAAAGAGGAAAGGACGGTTCGCTCTCGACGTTTATCACCGTCCAATATCCCACGCTAGGCTTTGCCCGCGTTCAGAGAAAAAATTCACACCGTGAAACGTACCCGAACGAACGCACGCGCACGACCGTACGCTTTTTTACTCTCGGTATACACCAGCCTATTGTCGCACCCGCGTGAATCGCACGTGACGTGAAACAAACGAATTAATATCTACTCCGTCGGTAAGTGTCACGTTACCGGTGAGAAGTTGCAGAATTCCAAGTACGAATCATCGACGCCACGAATAAACACTGTTACCGCAACAACGCAAATACGTCCATTTCTCTGGTTAATCCTTCTGAATAAAAGACGGTTGATCTTCCTACTATGACGGCCGTCGAACTGCACTCCTCCCGGAACGTGACAAAACTGGTGACAGCAGTGGAATATCGCCGGGGGGACGTCCTGAGATGTAGAATCGGGGGAGGGGAGGTGTGACGACCGTCAGACTCCGCCCCAACGCCGATTGCTCCTTCGACCACTTGCTCCTTCTCCCAAATCCCCTTCTCTAGTTCTCTTCTAATTCCATACATCAGAGTGGTTTACAGGACGGCCACCAGATGTCTCGGACGATGTTTCTCTCGCAAGTGCTCGAAGGGGCGATCGTTTCTTCATATTCGAGTTACATGAATTATCTATGTCAGAGGCTATCAATGGAAAGGTAACACATTACACAAAACAACTTTTGTAAAATCTACGTTTGTTCATTATCATATACATATATATATATACATATACATATATATATATACATATACATATATATATATAATATGATGATATATATATATATATTATATGATATATTATATACACACATATATATATATATATATATATATATATATATATATATATATTCACGAACCAGGTAGGTATAGAAAGAAAAGGGGGTGTTTTATTGTCGTTAATTGTCACTAGACATTTTTTTCTCGTGATTTCGACGGATCGCAAAAGTTTTAGAACGAATGTTTTCAATAAAAAAATACACGTGGCACGTTGGTGATTGACATGCATGCAGCGATTTTTTTTTATCGTAAAAATTTACATACGAAGAGTGCGTCCGCGTCGTGTCCAGTGCTGTACACGAGAAATAACGCGCACACACCGCGATGCCGAAAGAGACTGGCACTCCACGGAGGAAGGAAGGAAGAAAGGACGGGGATAGGAGAAGGGAAAGAGAGGAAAAGAGGGGAGGAGACTTGCAACTTAAAAGGAGGGGAGTGTGAAGTCAGGGTAAAGAAACAGGAACACAAGGTAAGCAATGGAGGGGAGTATTCGCGGGAATGCAAACGAACGAAGCAAGGGCAACTTTTCTACCGATTTCATGACATTATACGTGTAACGTCTCGATACAAATATATGTCTTATCAAAACATTAGAAAAACATCGAGAAGCGTACAATCAAAAGATAGAAAAAAAAAAAAAAAAAAATATCGATCAAAATTGAAAGAAATACAATAGTAGAATAGTACAATATATTTTTTATCTAATTTTCATTCGCAAATCTATTTTTATTTAATACCTTCATACTCGTTTTATTATTTCGATAATTTTAACGAAAATCATATATCATCGATTACATGATTATTAAACAACGTATTATAGGTTTCACCTTATTAGATACGTAGCAAAATATGCTTGCACTTCACTATCCAATTTTTTTTTCTTTTTTTTTTTTTTTTTTTTTCTAGCACAAAGAAATAAAAATTGTAATAGAAGAATTAATAATGTTTATTTGAATTGAAATTCAATTTCAAATCCGATATTTATCCATAACGATGAAACTGACACGTTCGCACTCGCGTCCCCTTGCGATCTGACACTTGGGTATCCGGTCGGGTTCGCGATCCCCTCTACCTTTCCCGCGCTTTGGTAGAAGGTTTAAACGTTCGCTGGCGGATGGAACGAACAGGCAGGCGAAATAGCATCCAGTGGGCGGAGGCCTAGGACGCCAACGCCGTCGCCTGGCAGCGCATACCGAGTTGCGGTAGGCGGTAGACCGATGGTAACGCCCGGCATCGACACCTCCCTCTTTTCCTCCGCTCTTCTTTCCATCCGTGTCTCTTTCTTTCTCTCTTGTCCTTCCCGTTTCCTTTTCATCTTTCGATACTCTCCTTCGAGCGCCCTGTCGGATAACGACCCCTAACGACGTTGCAAACTCGAGCGTGGACGCCGGAAATTTTCTATACGGCAGGAACTCACCTCGACTTCCGTTTCATCCCAGGAATCATCTTCGAGGCGGGGTCTGCGTCTGCGTCACGTGTCAATTTTTTTAATAATTTATTTTCTCGTAACAATTCGATCGAATCCTCTGCCGAGGATTTTTTTTTCAATTATTCAACCCTAAGAAAATTATCGTCCAACGATAGGGATCAATCACGATGCGTATAATTCGGTTAATATTCATATATTTATTTTCCTCTATTTTCTGCACGCTCGGAGAATCCGTCCGCTCCCCGATTCCCCGTGCATTTTCATACTTTGTATCATTTTGTTCCATCGAAAATATGGCGGCGCGTAAGTCTACTGTAATTGGACATGATTGCAACGATCATATTCGCGATACCGCGGCTACGAAAAATACCGGTCACGACATCCCCCTTTATTATAGACGCCAGATCATTTTTCTGCGATAAGAAACGCGTTTCCAGGAAAGAGATTGAATTATTATCTAGCGACGAAACGGTTATGATTTAAATTTTCGTAAGAGAAACGAAATATAACAATCTCGAAAACACGATCGCTGAACCGTATACCTACGTATTTTGTCCACGAAATCGGCCGTAAAAATGGTAACATCGGATCTGGTTATTCACTCGTGAACAATCCCTTGTGTTTGCTCACGCTTGCGGACGCTCGTTTACACTCGAAAACCTAAATGAAAATAATCGAGCGAATGCGAAGATTAACTTCTTTGATCTATCTTTATCCCCTTCGAATTGTGCGTTCTGTATTCAAAATGAGACATTCGAGTTTCTCCATTACAGAGTCCGATCTGATCACCGTTTGATGTCGGCCAATGTCGGTAAAATAACTTGGCGGTTTCAATGTCGAGAAAAAAGGTTCCCACGAGGGATAAGCGGGCTTCAATGTCGCTCGATTGCCGGACAACGTTCAAGAAATCGTGTCTTCCTTTACTCTACACGATGCATCGTGTACGTAAATGAACGTTTCATCTCGTTTATTGTCAACGACTTTCATCGGTTGTTCGTTCTTTTTTCCTCTTAGCGCTCGTAAATAACGTAGTATTTCGAATTCATCCGTTGACACGCTTCAATTTAAAGTAACCTTTTAAAAGTTTTGAAAGGGGTAAAAAGAAAAAAGAAAAAAAACAACAGAGTAGATGGAATCGTGCAAAAACGTTGCGAGAGTTAGAATATCGGAGGAGCAATATATGGCGGACAGGATATCCACCCTCTTTAACTCTTCCCCATTCGCTCTCGTTTCCTCTCCCTTCCACCACTACGTTCGTCCTCCTTTTTCCCTCTTTTTTCGCCGTGTGTAGCTTCGAGTCCTGCATCCTCTCCTCTCCTCTCCTCTCCTCTGCTCCACGGCCTGTTCTCCCGCGCGTTTGTACGCGCATCTGCATGCACCGCGCGTCACATATACAGACAAGATGGCGTATACTGTGGTACAAATTGCAGGTAATTGCAGCCCGCGGAGAGGGCTCTCCTCCTCCGCGTTCGTCGAGGGGCGAAAGGGAGAAGGGCCGGGCCCAACTCGAGAGCGTGTGAAACTGCGAATTTTATGATTTACAAACGTGATCCTTTATAAGGGTATATGGATCTACGGGAAGGGACGAGGCGAGCCGCAAGTTAAGATCCGCCCCTGTGACCTCCGCGGACCAACCGCGAGATAATTGCACGCCACGGACGTACGATTTACTCCCGCGATTTACGATTTCGTCCGAGGGGAAAAGAAAAAATTCTTTCCTACGCTTTCGATCCAATCGCGATCCAATCGAATCCAATAACTCTTTGGATATATTCGCGTTATATTTGCGCACCAGAATGCAAGAAATTTTTAATTTTAAGGAAGGATATTTTTTTATGTATTTAATGTATAAATTATTGTATTTAAAATGTATATTAAAATATATTGTATTAAATGTATATTTATTGTATAAATATTCGTTTTTGGAATTTGGAATTTTGACGGAAGTATTTTAATTTCGAGGAAGGATTTCTTTCCCCTAATGGTTCGAATATTCGTTTTTAACTAGGAATTTTGAAACGTCGGGGAGGAAATGGTCGAAAGGAAGCGGTGAAAAGCGTCGGCCGATTCGTTCTGCCGCTTTGCACCGCAAGTGGAAACCGATCGCCCATCGAATTTCCGAGTCGGTAAGTAGTCATTGTTCGTCACGGTCTTTCTTGGAAGGTCATCAGACCTGCCCTGCCAAGGACTCGTAGATGGCTTCGTAGCTTGACCTCGCTAGTTTTAATTTCGAAACGTTGAGATTTCAGAAAATTTTATCGGGGCGAGCCACCTCGAAAAACCGTTTCCAATTTCCAAAACGATTCTGGATTTCGATCTTCGCGTTCACACAACATGCTCGCATAAACTTCGTTCTAATTAATTGTAATCACTTATACGTTACTCGCCGGAACCATGCACACGTTATCAATTTCGCGGAAGTTGAGCGTAATTTATTCGTGGTGCGCACGTGTTCCCAGCACGTCCGCCCGTATGCTCGAATCGTATAATCGAAAAAATTATGGCAGGAAAAGTGGTCGTGAGGGTAACGACTTCCATCGTATTAAAGAATCCCCAAGCGAGCGAGCAAGTAAATAAGTAAGTACATTAGCCGAAGAGTTCACAGATTAGGAATTAAATCCTGACAGCGGTCGGCCTCGTTTATCCTTGGTTAAATACAATTCCATTTCGAGATAACGTTATCTCGATCTTAAGAGTTTTCTTTCCGAAAATTAATTAGCAAAGATTAAAACCCAGGACAGGATTATGCCGATTATTGTCCATTAAGTAAACGATGGAAGGATCTCGGATCTCCCCCCTTTCCCTCCTCTCCCCTTTTGTTCATAATTTTCATAAGTTTCGGAATAGGATAACGGAATAGGATCGTAGAGCGAGGATGAATAGAGTTTCGTACGCTATAACTCTAGTCTTCTAGGGAATATTCGCGTCTTATGGGACAAGGAAGGATGTTTGAGAAGCCGCGCCTCGGGACGTTCTCTCGTTTCTTGGCACCTTCGATTGACAATTCTCAGGCCTGCGCGCCCAGGCTACGAGGTTCCAACTATTTGTTCTTTCTTTCTTTCTCTCTCTCTCTCTCCTTCCCTCTTCCTTCCTTTTCCTTTAAAATCGTCTCTTTTTTTCGCCTCTCCCTCTCTCCCTCTCTCTCTCTCTCTACTCTCTCAGTCGCTCCCACGTTTCATGAACGTTTCCCCTTTCCTTCTCCCGCTCTCCTTCCATCTCTCTTTCCGGTATACATGTGGACGCGACGTTGCATAGACGCACAGCTACACAAGCTTATGTACAACACACAAGGATGTACCGAGAACGCGAGTTAACTATTACGGGGCCTCCTCGCGCTTTTATAGCCCATCTGGGTGGCGTGCATACCACCGCCATCTTGTTAGCCACGATTAAATATTGATGCAAGAACGGATATCCAGAGTGAGAATGTGTTCGCGGAATCGGATCGCGGGAATCTGGGACGGTGTTAATAAATGCTCAAATTGCACCGAACTTTTTCTCTTCCGACTATTATTATTAATCACAGGATCGAAAAATTGCTCTGTCTCCCTTCTTTCCACGATAATAATAATAATAATAATCTTATTGTTTATCGAGGGGGCGCCGATTGGTCGATACGAGTCGCGTATAAAAGAAGAAGGAAAAGAGAAAGGGAGAGAGAGAGAGAGAGAGAGGAAGAAAAAAGAAAATGGCGAGCCCGTGCGTGGAACGCAACCGGCCATTAAAAAATAATGCAAATTATCCGACTCCATTATACCCTTCCTCCCCCCGATTTCGTTCCTTCCCGTTTCTCAGAACTTAGATCGATTTTCGTTCGCTCCGAACTCACGCTC